TTAGCCTTACCTTCCTTAGCTTACCTTTACTTTGCTTTTGTCCTGTGAAAGTAAAATGCCAGTACCAACCAAATTGATCTGAAGAAAAATATTAGTACCCAAAGACGTAATGGAATGTAAATGTACTATGCTAAAAACTTACCCTCACTAAAATGCTTTGTACCTACGTGACCCTATATTCAAATGTTTAGTACTACTATAAGGCTACATGATGTGATATGAACACTAAGCATACTAAAATTAGAAATTATCATGCGATGTAAAAATAATTAAATGGCCTTGGGACTTATTGAAACACAATCTGATAAAACTGTAATTTATCCCACTATACTTACTAAATTCCTTTTCTTGTTGTCAACAGGTTTAATAGGCAAAAGCAAAGGAAGAAATATGCACATGGAATGGTCATCCAAAGCTCCTGACTTATTTTCCCCTTTTGTTCCCGCACTTTATTTTGGGACTATTCCCCAATTATCAATTTGGATTTTGTAATCAATGTAACCTTGGGATTTTTTTTTGGCCTCATGTAACCTTGGGATTTATGCACTTTTTTATTTCGGAAATTAAGAGAATCAGGTGCTTTCATATATTGTAAATTAAGAAAACCTATCCCCCCTAACGTAACTATAGCACTAATGGTCAATGCAAGATTAATGGGTACTATGCATATAATTAATTAAATGTAGGCACATGACTAGTAGACAAAATGACATGATAAAAATGGATATATTTGATGCGAAATGAACATGAATATGACTAATGTGATAATATGACTATCATCAATATAACTCATGGGAACATGAAACTAAATTGGACATGCCCTATAAAAATAAAGAAAATGAAAATGCCAATTGCAAACTAAACCTATTTCTAAAACACTTAAGTTATATGATTAAAATGTAACAATACTAAATTACCAAATGAAGCTAAGCCATGAAACATGTAAAAATGTCAAAGGTGCACATTAAAATTTTTCTTTTTTTTCAAATGCAATTTTGATGACTAATTAGTTAATCTAAATTAAAAGTGGACTTTAAAAAGACCAAAATGCCCCATAACATGCAAGTGACCAAAATGCCCCTGAATAACCCTGATATCATATAAGAAATAGGTTGTTTTAAATTGAACTTTCTAGGACAAAAATGGGTGTCTACAGCTGCCCCTCTTTGCCCCTAAAATGTAATTTAAAGCAAACTTTTTGAAACCAAACTCTCGAACAGAAACCTCAGGCAGGACTCGAAATAAAACAAAATTTAGAATTGGAGCAAGAAACCCTCGACTAGAGACCTCGATTAGGATTTTAAAAGAGCATGATTCCGGAATTGAAACAAGAAAACTCTTGACATAGAGACCTCAACTAGGATTTGAAGCGAAACAAGACTTTAAATTGAAACATGAAACTCTCGACTAGAAACCTCGACTAGGATTTGACAAGAAACAAGATTTTGAATTGAAACAAGAAACTCTCGACTAGAGACCTCAACTAGGATTTGAAGCGAAACAAGACTTTAAATCGAAACATGAAACTCTCGACTAGAAACCTCGACTAGGATTTGACAAGAAACAAGATTTCGAATTGAAACAAGAAACTCTCAACTAGAGACCTCAACTAGGATTTGAGTTGAATAAAAACTTGGGATTGCAACTCTAATAATAACTCAATAAATGTCATGTGAGAATCATTCATTTTTTTTTTGAAGCAAAATCTATTAAATTTTAAAATAAGGACCCAAGATAGCCCAACATTACTCTTGATTCTTTTTTCCAGGTATTCTTGTTTAAGCCGACGAACTTTGCTCTTATCTTCTTCTTCTCAATATCACACCTTGGAGGTCTTCTTTCTGATGATTCTCCTTTTATAGAATGTGTGCCTTTCATTGAGTATTTGCCCCACAAGGATCCTATTTTACTTCCAAATGTGGACTTTCCCAATTAATGAAATTAAGACTCATGTTCCAGCTTACCTCCTTTTGTTGTTGAACACCATTCATGACCATGTTTACTCAAATATGTTCAATCAGAATTATGATTTTGTAATGAAATGCATAATTCAAGTTTTTCTCTCAAAAGAAATGTAATATACAATATTAATATTAAGGAAGAAAGAAATGTATATGAAAAGACTTTACTTTAACTAAGAGGAATAATTCATAAGGAAAAAGGTTGAAATAATAACAAATATATAAAGAAATAGAGTTGACCGCATGGCGATGAATACTCCGACGATTTTGAATGATGGATAATTCCCTTGCATTTCAATTGGTCTTGTGTGTAAATTCTTCTTCTTTTTTAGTCATCACTGGTAGCTCTGGACTGCTCACTCACCCTTTCGACCTCACAAGAAGATTGAGCAAGATTCCACTGTCAATGCCTTTCCATCCTTCACTTGAGCCGCCCTTTCGGGTTTTCAGCTTAAGAACCCCCATTGGATTCAGGCAGCCCTTTGCGGGTTTTCAACCTGAACCCCTCCTTTTATTTATTTATCTTTTTCCGACCTTTTTCTATTTTAGGCCAAGGTTTTTTTTTATTTTTTTTACGACCTGTTTCTATTTTAGGCCAAGTTTTTTCTTTTTTCACAGCTCTCTCTTCTTAGGCAAAATATTTCTTTACCGCGTCCGAATTAATCGGACTTGGTAATTCATCCCCATCCATCTCTTGCAAAATTAAAGCACCTCCTGAAAATGCCTTCTTTACAACATATGGCCCTTCCCAATTTGACGCCCATTTGCCTCTTGGATCATGTTGCTCAGGGAGAATTTTCTTCAGCACCAATTCTCCTTCCTTGAACTGCCTAGGACGCACTTTTTTGTTGAATGCCCTTATCATCCTTTTCTGATATGCTTGTCCATGACAGAGATCGATCATTCTTTTCTCTCCTAAAAGATTCAGTTGATCATATCTTTCTTGCTCCCATTCTGCTTCTTCTAGTCTGACTTCACGGTATACTCTTAACGGGGGAATTTCCACTTCAACTGGCACAACCGCTTCCATCCCATACACCGATGAATAAGGAGTTGCCCCTGTAGATGTTCTGGCACAAGTCCTATAGGCATACAGAGCAAAAGGTAATTTTTCATGCCAATCTCTATAAGTTTCAGTCATCTTCCGTATGATGTTCTTGATGTTCTTGTTTGCTGTTTCCACTGCACCATTCATTTTCGGGCGTCTTGGGGCGGAATTGCTGTGGGTAATTTTAAACTGAGCACAAGCGGCTGCAATAAGCTTGCCATTCAAATTCATTGCATTGACAGTAATGATTCTTTCAGGCAGACCATATCGGCAAATAATTTCCTTCTTGATAAATCTGAGGGCCACTGATTGTGTTATGCTAGAATAGGATGCAGCCTCCACCCATTTAGTGAAGTAATCAATCGCCACTAAGATGTATTGATGACCATTTGAAGCCTTAGGATTTATAGCTCCGATCACATCTATGCCCCCAATTGAAAATGGCCATGGAGATACCAAAACATGAAGTGGAGGGGGGGGAGTGTGTATCAGATCTCCATACTCCTGACATTTGCGACACTTCCTCGCATAATTGATACAATCAGTCTCCAAAGTCAACCAATAATACCCTGCTCTCATAACTTGCCTGGCCAATCTATGTCCGCTTGCATGACTTCCACAAATTCCTTCATGCACTTCTTCTAGTATCCTTTTAGCTTCCGCCGAATTCGCACATCTCAACAGAACCTGACCCTGACTATTCTTATACAAAACCTCCCCATCCAGAAAATATCCCAATGACATTCGCCTAATCACCCTCTTATCATTGTCAGTAGCATGCTCTAGGTATTTTTGATGCTTAAGATTCTGTACGATATCATAATACCATGGATTCCCATCCGGCTCCTCTTCCACACTCATAACATGGGCCAGTGCTTCTTTTAACCTCAACTTAATTGGCGGTATATTCACACCTCCTCCAAATTTAAACATAGCGGCCAGCGAAGCTAGAGCATCAGCCAACTGATTTCCTTCTCGTGGAACATAATGGAAGGAAATGTCTTCAAATTGTTCCATTAGCTCTAGTAGGTACTCCCGATAAGGAATCAACTTAGAATCTCTTGTTTCCCATTCTCCTTTCATTTGATATACCACCAAGGCTGAATCACCATAGACTTCTAAAACTCTGACTTTCTTTTCAATAGCCATCTGAATTCCAAATACACACGCCTAGTATTCTGCAATATTGTTTGTGCACGGGAAGTCTAGCCTTGCCGTACCTGGAAAATGGTCCCCATCTGGTGAAACCAACACAACACCAATTCCATGCCCAGCATATTGGATGCTCCATCAAAGTACACTTTCCATTTTGTTGGCTCCTCTGAAACCTCTTTCTCGACATTCATTACAGCCATGAGATCTTCATCTGGGAATTCAAATTTTACAGGCTCATAATCATTACTCGCTCTGTCTGCCAGAAAATCTGCCACGACACTTCCTTTTATGGCTTTTTGGGACACATACGCTATATCATATTCGGACAAGAGTACTTGCCACCTTGCGATTCGACCAGACAAACCACGCTTCTCAAAAATATATCGGAGGGGATCAAGTTTGGCTACCAACATCGTAGTGTGGTATAACATGTATTGCCTTAACCTCTGGGCTGCCCATGCCAATGCACAACACATTTTCTCCAGTGGGGAATAATTTGATTCGTATTCTGTAAATTTCTTGCTCAAGTAATGATCGTGTAGTCAGCAATCATAAAATAATCCCCACAAAACCTAACTAAAGTAGATAGAGCAAACAGGGGTCGATCCCACAGAGAAGGGTGAAGAACTTTTATTCCAAGAACAAATCTTTTCTAAAAATTAGTTCTAAAATAGAAAACAGGGTAAAGATGTGGGTAAAGTAAACAGTGATAATTCTAATCCCCTAAAAAACAATTAAACTAAAGACAAAGCAAAATAAATCTAAATCTAAATCTAAATCTATGGCAATTATAAAGCAAACAATAATTAAAAAGCATACTTCTTCTCTGATGGTATGAATCAATGAGATTAACTATGGATCATTGATTTAAAAGGTGAATTTAGCATCTTATTCTTGACTGACAGCTGATATAGGTTTCCCAACATGTACTTTAGATAAGAGGCCGATCAAAGCTGCAGTTATCCCTTTTATTCCTTTAGTGATCGATTACTTTCTTAGGGCTTAAAGATCACTTGAGAACAAAGCATTAAGAACAGTTAATTTTACACACATGCCTACAAGTAGAACCATACGAAGAGAAATTTCTCGCCCTCCGATAGACAAACACCCATTAGGCTGCGATCAAACAAACCCGATTTGCTACATACAATCAAACTTGAGTGATTAATTCTAAGCCTGACTAGCAATAGATCCGTCCAACTACTTCATCGGTGGCCATCCAAATCAATAACTATCAAGATCATAAAATAAAACAGAGTTTTGCCTACTATCATCAAGAACTTAACACAAAATTATAAGTATAGAAATCTCACCATAATCAATTGATCGAATTCACCACAGGATTAGAAGTATTAAGGGTTTAGCTACTCATGGATAAATCCATGAGAGGCTTAAGAAAACTTACAAAACTTGAAGGCAAAATCCTCTTCTTGAAATCTCCTAGGTTGCTGCCCCTCTCTATGCAAAGAGAGGGGTGCGACACCCTTGACCTAAAACTAGAGAAAAACTAAACTAAAGAAAGGTAGAAAAAGAGAATAAACTATATGAGAGATTAATTGTGTAAGTGTGTGATTTGTGATACAGGAGGTGGCTATTTATAGTGGAGAAATAGGGTAGGACGGTTTAGCCTTTTCTTGGTCTCCAAGTAGGATTAGGTGTCATCCTAGAGTAGAATCCAAGTTAGATGAGGACTCTAGAATTTTCTGGAATTTTTTGGAATTGTGCAGGAAATTCGACGTCGATTTCGGGCTTGAAGATGGCAGATCTGGGCTTTGCACTTCAAAAGAAAGTTGTAGAGCTCGGAGTTAGCTTTCCAACGGCTACTCATGGGCTTAAAACGGACATCTGACCAGAAAGTTATGGCCTTTCTACGAAGACTGCGCTGAAACCGGGCTTATATAGCAAATCTGCGGGATTATTGCGGGATTTGGATATTCTTTTGCATATTAGGCCTACAAATTGGGATTTTAACTCCAATTATAGGTTTATATGGGCTAAGTATATTCCCATATAATTAATCCAAAAATCCTCAACTTCAGGGTTTCTTCTGGGCTTGGCTTCAATCCTTTGCAAATAAGCTCCAAATCTTCAATTCTTACTTCTTGAAATAATTCTTCTTTAGTCTTCAATTCTTCAAAATATCTTCAAGAAATCTTCAACCACGAACTTCGCATCTTCAAATCTTCATTCCAAATGGCTAAATCCATAGTTGAGTAAAAAGTCACCAAAATAACTCCAAAAAGAGTGAAAAACAATAAGTTTTCACTTTTCTTGTCTTCAGGACCTAAAAACACAAATACTAACAAAATAGGGTAAAAATACATATAAAAGTGGCAAAAAGTATATAAAAGTAGCCATAAAAATATGCATAATTTTGGCTCGATCAAGTAATAAACTGCGTATTCCTTCTTTCCGGATTTCTCTTGTTGGGTCAGAACGCAACCCATGGACTTCTAAAATACTGTCAAATACAAGATCAAAGGTCTTCCTCGTTCTGGGGGCATCAGAAGGTGGATTTAACAGATATTCCTTTACTTTCTCAAAGGCAACTTGACATTCATCATCCCATTCTCCCGGATTATTCTTCCTGAGCAACTTAAAAATGGGGTCACACTTTGCTGTCAACTGGGATATGAAACGAGCTATATAATTTAATCGTCCTAGAAACCCCCTCACCTCCTTTTGGGTTCTAGGTGGAGGCAAATTCTGAATTGTTTTGACTTTATCAGGATCTACCTCTATTCCATTCTGGCTCACTACAAAACCCAACAACTTTCCAGATGTTGCCCCAAATGTACACTTGGATGGATTCAACTTAAGCTGGTACTCTCGGAGTCTTTGGAACAACTTTCTCAAATTCACTAAGTGCTCCTCTGGTGAGTGGGCTTTTGCAATCATGTCATCCACATATACCTCTATTTCTTTATGCATCATATCATGGAACAAAGTAACCATCACTCGCTGATAAGTGGCTCTCGCATTTTTCAGTCCAAACGGCATGACTTTATAACAAAATGTGCCCCATGCGGTCACAAAAGCAGTCTTTTCTTTGTCTTCGGGCGCCATCTTAATTTTGTTGTATCCAGAAAAGCCATCCATGAAAGAGAACAATGAATGACGAGCTGTATTGTCCACCAAAATGTCAATATGAGGCAGTGGGAAGTTATCTTTAAGGCTGGCCCTATTTAAGTCTCGGTAATCTACACACATCCACACCTTTCCATCCTTTTTTGGGACTGGAACAATATTAGCCTGCCATTCGAGATATCTAATCTCCTCAAGAAAACCGGCATCAAACTATTTCTTAACTTCTTCTTTTATTTTCAAAAGCATATCTGGCTTCATCCTTCTTAACTTTTGTTGTACGGGCTTGCATTCAGGTCTAATCGGCAATCTGTGAACTGCTACCTCAGGATTCAGCCCCGGCATATCCTGATACGACCATGCAAAAACATCTGCATACTCTTTAAGCAAATCTACTAACTGTTGTCTGTCTTTTGGCATCAAAGTAGTGCCAATCTTTACTTCTCTCCTATTCTCCTCTGTACCCAAATTTATCAATTCAGTGGATTCTTTATGAGGCTGAATTTGCCTATCTTCTTGCTCAATCAATCTCATGAGGTCTGAGGGTAGCACTGAGTCCTCGGCATATTCCTCAGCCATATCATTATTACACATAGGCCTTTCGAAAATATTTGCAGGGCTATCCGGTTCGTCTTTGCATTCATTGCCAGTTGGCCTGCGAAAGAAATGAAGAGAATATATATGTATAGAGAAATAATAAAGTATAAGTAAATATATAAATGTATGCAAACAAAATGGAATGAATGAGAGGAAAACTTGAACATGCATTCGACTTCATTACTCATCATAACAAAGAGAACATGATTTGAATAACATCCATGATCATGAAAATGAGATTCAATCACATTTTTAGGAAAAGATATTAAAACTTTAAAGAACCTGATTACATTTCATTGTTGGTAACAACTGGAAACTCAAACTCAGTCCAATTGACCTCCTCTGATCCTGACTCTGCTGGGTAAATCCATGGGCACCTATCCTCTGACCCATCCTCCACTACACTAACTGATAACTCTATAAACTTTCCTCTGACAGCTGAAACTTCAGTGGTTAAATGAAGGGCATCTATCTTCTCTAATGAGTTCTCCCAACCAGCCGACCTAAAAGTGTGATACAAGGGAGGAAACTCCATTTTGCCTGCTTCATATGGCTCTCCCTTAAGTCTGGCTATCCTTCTTTGCTTCATTTTTTCCTTGACTCAACTCGATCCTTCCAAACCGGCTTAAAACCCAGGCCAAAAGTATAAGCATACTTTGGTGTAGAAATGGCTTCCCCAATTCCTTGAAGTCTTTTTCCTAAACCACATCCAACTTTCCACCCTTTCCCAACCAACTGCTTCAGCTACATCATCCAATTCTTAGTGACATGGGGCCTGGGCAACTTTCCTCCCTTAACATGAGTCACTTCTGCAACTTCGAAAGAGCGATAGGAATCCTCCACACTCTCTTCTATAGCTTCCACATATGGGGCGTTGTGAGTTTGCGTAGCTCTAATGTCTTTTTCTTGCTTTGATCTCTATCAGCTTGTTCCCCACTCGGACTTAACCGCTTGGTGCAAGGTGGACGGTACAGCCCCCGCCATATGAATCCAGGGTCTTCCTAATAAACAAGAGTATGAGGGGCTTATATCCATTACTTGGAAAGTCATCAAGAATTCAACCCCTCCTATTCCCATCTGAACCTCAATATCACCCCTTATGGAGCGGGTAGTTCCATACAAAAGCTCTCACCATCATATTGTTTGGTTTAACGTAGGAAAGGTCCACAGATAGCTTCTCCAGTGAATGATATGGCATGATATTCAGGGCCGACCCATTATCAATCAGAATTCTACCAACATGAAACCCATTGCACCCAACTGATATGTATAGAGCTTTCAAACTATTCCTTCCTCCTTCGGGAATGTCCTCATCAGTGAAGGTAATGTGTCCCGCAGTTATGCTCCCCACAATATGATCAAGATTCTCCACTGTGATTCCTTGCTCCACATAGGCTTGACTTAATACCCGAAGTAAGGCTTTCCAATGTGCTTCTAAATTCAACAACAAAGATAGGATGGAAATTCTAGCAGGCATCTTGTTCAATTGATCTACCACGCTGTACTCACTATGCCTGATAATCTTAAGAAACTCACAAGCTTCCTTCTCTGTAAAGCATGGCTTCCCTATTTCCCCTTGAGCAGATGATTGGCCTTGTTCCATCACTGGCGGCTTATCCACAGGACATCCTTTCCCAAACTCCTCATCTCTTCGTATTGGTTCCTTCATAGGTTGTGAATAGCAACGACCACTTCTAGTCATTCCTCCAACCCCAGTTATGTTGGTTGAATCCGTTTGAACTTATGCTGTTTGAGGGGACACATTAACATCATATCTATAAGGCACACAATGATTACTTTCATAGGCAAAAAGCTTAGGTGAGTTGACCATCATGTGTTGCGGTATTATTGCGGGAGGCTTTTGGTATAAAGGGTCGTACCATTGGAATTGTGGGTACGAAGGGTGATGGTGGCAACCTGGTGGGCAAAGTGGGAATAAACGGCTTTGGCTTCTCTTTCTCTATCACCACATTGACATCCTCCATCGGAACTTCAATATAGAACTGAATTCGGAACTCATCCATCAACTTCTAGACTAAAACCTTGAACACTTTGCAATCCTGTATTGCATGAATTCTATGCATGGGACATGCTCCGTTACTAACCTGATCCCCATACAGTCCTGGCTCCATCATGTCGGCCTTTACTAACGCCTTGTATACTGTTTCCATAGGGGTGACAACCTTGTGGACGTCCCTTATCACAATCTCCCTGCCACATATAGCATTGACCTGGCCTCCATTGTGATTAGGTAGTGGATTACCTGTAGTATTTGGCTGTTCTACCTTGGGAAAACTGAGCTTTCCACTTTTCGCTAAAGCTTGCACCTCCTGCTTCAATCTAAGGCAATTCTCAGTTGAATGTCCTTGGGCCCCACAATGAAAGTCGCAATAAGCGTTAACATCATACCATGTAGGAAATTGCGACTGTAGAGGACGCTGATACTGAACCCGACGGACCAAATTCTTCTGAACCAACTGTGGTAGCAGCTCTGAATATGTATACGGGATATGATCAACTTGCTCTCTAGCTTGGCGGAAGGTAGCCCTTGGAGGGAAAGCTTGACCAACAGGTTGTGGTGTAAGTACTGAAGATTGTTGATTTGGCGCTGGCGCCCTATAGGAAGTGCCCCCAACGTTGTTGACTGGCTGATAAGAGTATGGGGCCGGTGTTGGTGGGCGATAGTAGTTCATCGGGCTCTGCGTAGGTTGTTGATAGTTGTAGGCGGGAGGTGTATAATATGGAGTATAGGAACCTTGAGGCTGGTACCCCACTTGATTGACACTACTAACTTCCTCTTTCTTCTTTCCAGTCGACCCCTTTTTAGCTTCATCTGGAACTACAATCTTCCTGGACTTAATGCTATTATCAAGCTTCTGTCCTATCACTACAATCTTCGCAAACGGTTCACCTAACATGTTGAAAAGCTTATCATAGAAGATTGACTTCTGAGTGTCGATGAAAAGCCCTGAAATTTCTGACTCCCCTATTGTCGGCCTTACCTGGGCAGCCATATCCCTCCAACGTTGAGCAAACTCAGTGTAGCTCTCGGTAGGCTTCCTTTCCATGGCTTTCAAATTTTCTCTGTTTGGAGCCAATTCAATCAAGTATTTATATTGGTCAAGGAAAGCCTTTGCAAGATCATCCCAGGAGCGAATGCGATGCTTATCGAGCTGGTTGTAC